AATCTAAAGGGTCGCGCGCTTAAGGGAAGGAACCTACGAGGTCGAATCCGAGGACACTGGTCGGATGTGATCCGAGCTGTATTCGAATTGTGGCCAAGTAGACTTGTGGGCTTTAGGGTCCGTGCAAGGCCCAAGTGTTGAGCCTGCGACAGGCGCCTATATAAAGTGTAGGTGCCGCACACTCACGCGATTTGATCGCTTCGGCACTGTCACTAGGGTTTGCATGTGTTGCGAATAGACACCTTCACTCGCCGCCGGTTGTGTGATCGGACCTAGCAGTCCGTCGCATGACGTTCCTCCTGCATGCGCGGATACCGTTAGAGGCGGTGCACTTGCGCCGCTCCGGCAAACCTGTACGTGGGAACCTACTACCGGCTGTACGAGGAAGATCGGACGAGGAGGAAACGATTCACGCGGACGCGTTGCCCCGACTCTTCTTTCGCTGCACGGCATTGCGCGTCTAGTGGTAACGATCTGTGATCCATCTCCCGTAGCATGTTCTTGGTTGTTCTGCGCGTAGGAAAATTTTAATTTGCAGTCGACGCACCCTACCGTAGAACCCAACACAGCGGTACTCATGGAAAAGCTCATGTCCAATGTACATGGAAATTTGACGCGTTGATGAATTCAAGGCGGTGAAGAATATTCGCCAAGGTGGAGTTTGTTAGAGTTGTGTCGAATATTATGTACAAGGTAGGTTACAACTGGACTCTGAGTAGTATTGTGTTTAGATAGGATATGAAGTCGTGTCCAAGTAGGACACTTGTATCCTAGGCCTTTCATATATAGAGAGGGTAGACACACGATGTAACATATGCCAACATAATAGCACCGGAACGCAGGGGAAGCCGGAGGCTTGTGTCGGCGTCCAGGGCGACTGGGTGCGGTATTGTAGCGATGTCATGGGGAGGAGCGCCCATAGTCAGGCCCCGGGAATATAGCCATATCGGTGAACCTCGTTAACAAATCTCGGTGTCGTGCTCATGTGATTGCTAGGTCCTCGGATGATCGACGGTATGCCTCGGTTTTATTCTAACAATTATTAATAAAGCCTAGATTTTGTCGGTTTTCCCTGGCTAATAAAGCCCAGTTTCCGCCAAGCCATGAGAAAAAAATGCTAATGCTATGCTGTGAAAATAAAAAGTAAATTTCCATGGTCCTTAACGTAAATTTGCCATGGCAAAAATGAAAAAGTTGAATTTGCCATGTATGTGCCGCCTATATTAAAGAAAAATTGCCATTGCAATAAAAGGTAAATTTGATATGTCAAAAATAAAAAAGTAATTTTTTATGGCAATTAAAATAAAATTTTGTCATGGTACAAAGTAGTTTTTGTACATGTTTTTAGGACCCTAATATGCCATGATACAAAAGTACAACTTGCCATGCTAAAGTAAACTTTACATGGTCTCATGAATGCAAAAATCCCATTGAAAAGATGAAAGTAAAAAAAATTACCATGGATGTGAAGTGAAATTTTCCATGGCAATAAAATGTAAAAATTACCATGGGAAATAAAGGGTGAAAAAAATTCATGGCAATAAAAGTTAAAATTTGCCATGTTAATAAAATGTAAAAATTGCCATGGCAAAAAGGTGAACAAATGCCATGGAAATAAAAGTTAAAAATTACCATGGCAAATAAAAGGTGAAAAATGTCATGGCAATAAAAGTTAAAAAATGTCATGGCAATAAAAGTTAAAAAATGTCCATGGCAATAAGTAAATTTGCAATGTGAATAAAGTTAAATTTTACATGGCAAGATTAAGAACTCAATTTTGCCATGCCAAATAACGTAAAAAATTGCCATGCTACAAAGTAAAAAAACTCAATTTTGCCGTGCTAAATGAAATGATGCAAAAATTGCCGTGGCAAAAAATAACATGGATTTGTGTATGAAAAAAAGCAAAATTTGCCATCATCAACTATTAGAAATTGCCATGGTTAAAAAATGAAATGAAGTTGCCATGATCCATAAATTAAATTCTGCATGGCCCCATCAAAGGTATTTTTGCCGTTAACAAAATAGCCATGGGAAAAATACTTTTATGGCACCGTATGCAATTAAAGAAAAGCATTTGCACATGGTAAATTTAAGAAAAGCAAACAACTAAAATGAGATGGTCCAGAAACTGAAAAATTCCATGGTTAACTTCGAAAGTAGCCATGTTCGGAAAAGATTTTCCATTATCTTAAACTAAATTTAACATGGTCCATAAACTAAATTTTAATTTGCCCATAAAGTAAGATTGGCCATGATCCATGAACTAAATTTGTCGTTAATGATTAGCCATATCATAATAACTGTTGTGGTACTGTTTGAATTTGAAAAAAATAACATTTTCATTTGCACATGGCAAAATTAAGAAAGCAACAACTAAAATTGCCATGGTCCAAAATAGTGAAATTTGCCGTGGTAAAAATGTTTAATTTGCCTTGTTTGCAAAAGCATTCCATGATCTAGAACTGCTTTTGCCATGGTCCACAAACTAACTTTGCCATGATCTTAAAACTAAATCTGCATTTTGGTGCAAAAAGGAAAAGGCTATACCACAGTTCTCAAAATTTCAGATGAGTAGTACATTTATACCATAAATATCTTTCGAAACACCCATACTCCAATGTAAAATTTGAGAAGGATAAGATTTGTTCCTCCAGACATAGTACGTATATAGTAGATCTTGAAAGAATAGACGTGATTACAACAGGAACAAAAGGGCTAGTGTATACGTACCAAGGGCTACTGTGGGTTACTTCTTTGAGTGTAAGTCAACAGCAGCACCGATGCCTCAGCAATGCGATACCATAACTCATCATCTGCAGGAATGTTATGGCAACGCGCATCAAGTGCTGCATCTTCATACAAACTTAATTCTGTTACTTTCACAATCTTCGCTATTTGCATGAAGCTAAATAGCTAATCCTGCCTTGTTCCTGTCGATCATATGGATCATCCTCACTCAAAACTCCCACCAGCAATTTAGGAAAAATTGTAAGCAGCACTAGAGGGCGAGCTGGATGTCGTTAAAGAAATAAGTAGTTAGCAATGATATTCGGCAAACACTAATGCTATCAACAAAAAAGGAACACATCAAACCTGAAATCCGGACCAATGATCCAATGCCGTTAAAGCACATGGAACGATTAACCAGCACAGGTCGCCAAGCTTCAGGTAATTAACCTGAAACACTCCAAGAAGCAACCTCAGTGACCACCTTTAATGCTGAAATGGCTCAGCATTACTTACTGATTAATGCTTCTGGTGCTGTCACAAGTGTTTATTTACCGCAACACATTTTCTGATCACCACAGTAACTGTCTAATCGAACATTGTTCTTCAAGCAGGGGCAGGGAGCGGAGCGGAGCAGCGATGCGGAGGAGGCCCTCGTGGCGGGCGGCGGCGACATGGGGCGGTCAAACGAAACCGAGGTGCTGCGAAAGGTTCCACCCGAGTCGATGCCGCTGCTTCCGGGCCCCACTCGTCAGACATATCCCCAACCTCCGCCTCCGCCTCGGCCGGCAGCTAAGCAGCGCCGCCATCGCCGGCATCGAGCCCTCCGAGCCGCCTGAGCATACAACCGAGCTTCCCGCGATCTGCTCGACTTAGCGGTGCCCGGAAGACCTATACGAGCTTCCTACTACCACTTCCCCAGTTCGCCATTATTCATCGATTCAGTGGCTTTGAGACCCGGAGGCGAGCTTGGGATCGAATCCCACACCACGCCGCTGATTGCCCTCGCCGGTGAGCCTCGTCGGGTTGCTTTCGCGTCACAGTGCGCGATTAAACTCCATCTAAAATTTCCCTCACTCAATTTCCTGCTTCCCGCACCAGAGATCGAGATGGCCCCATGACCGCAGACCGCCGCCAAAGCTACCATTATGCCAACCTGTTAGGATGAGTTGTAAGTTGTTACAAGGCAAAGCTCTTTATATATTAAAAAAAGAGAGGCTAGGATGAGCTTCCAAGTTGGGTCTTTAAAGCTAGAAATTCCATGTTAAGCAGATAAAATCTGAAATATCTATGACGCCTATTTCGAATATGGCTCCAGATCCAGATTATAACGATGATGCTGTGACTGTGAGGGTACATTAAGATATACAGTTACAAATTTGTACAGAATACAGCTGTTTATTCAGTCATAAGCATTACAAATCGAGAGAAGTGCATATTACACCCCTCAACTCTAGCCCTAGTCTAATATACAACCCCCAACTCCAAAACCGTCTAATCTGCAACCTCCAACTCTTAAAACCGGCCAAAATTCAACCCTCCCCTCCCCTTGACCGGTTTTGACCGGGTTTGACCCATTGATTGATGAACAGCAAGTTCGAAAAAAATGAAAATTCAGAAAAATAAAATTTTAGAAAGCATTTTTTGCCTCCGGATGAACAGTATTTCAAAAAAAATTGGGAACAGAATTTTTAAAAAATAAATTCGACTTTTCACCGGTGAACAATATTAAAAATTCAGTTTTTTTTACATGTACCTGGAGGTAATAAATTGGAAACAAAATTCACCGGGATTTGTTTTTTGAATTACTGTAAACAGCATGAACAATATTCAAAAAAGTAAAAAAATCAGGAAAATCATTTTTTCACTGCGTGAACAGTGACCGAGGGAAAATTTTCGTTCCAAAAGTTCGAACTTTTTTTGAATTACTGTTCGCACGGTGGAAAAGTCGAAATTATTTTTAAAATTTTGTTCCCAACTATTTCTTGAATTTACATTTTTTTATTTTTATTTTTCTGAATTTTCCATTTTTTTCAAATTTACTGTTCATCGGTCAATGGGTCAGACCCGGTCAAAACCGGTCAAGGGGAGAGGAGGGTTGAATTTTGGCCGGTTTTAAGAGTTGGAGGTTGCAGATTAGACGGTTTTGGAGTTGGAGGTTGTATATTAGACTAGGGCTAGAGTTGAGGGGTGTAATATGCACTTTTCTCTTACAAATCTGTAGTGAATACAACTTTAGTCTTAAAGATAGACATAGTATATTATAATGTCTAGGTGCGCAATGCAGCTCGTTTTCCTGAAACAAAAAACGAACATGTTGAATGTGAGCTTCCAGCCATAGCTTGGAGCAGTCTTGGTATCGGAGGCATTGTGATCTCAACTAGCCCTTCGAGAATCTGAACCACCTGTCCCATTGTTGGCCGATCAAGCTCATCGTCTTGGAGGCACCAACATGCAACCTTGCAAGCAATTTCAACCTCATCCAGATTGGCAGTACCATGTAGCTTGTGATCTACCAAACTCCCAACGTCTCCTTCAATAAGCTTATGTGCGGCATGCACAGGAAAATAAACATCAGGGTTGCCACCACTAGGATATAAATCACATGAGTTCCTCCTTCCGGATACTATTTCCAGCAACACCATCCCGTAGCTAAAAACATTGACTTTTGGTGTAATGTGAACACCCGTAAGCCATTCAGGCGCAAGGTACCCTGTAGTTCCTCTCATTGTTGTCAATACTCGGCTATAATCCCTTCCTAAGAGTTTTGCCATCCCGAAGTCTGCAATTTTTGGAAGGAGTGAAGCATCAAGAAGTATGTTTTCTGGCTTGATATCACAGTGTATGATGCAGTCTCGGCAGCTGTCATGCAAGTAGGCTAATCCTCTTGCAACTCCTGGGCCTATCTGATACCTAGCAGTCCAATTCAAAACTGAACTGCTTCGAAATAGATGGACATCAAGAGAGCGATTTGACATGTATTCATAAACAAGCAACCTCTTGGAGCCCTCACAACAGAAACCAACAAGCTTAACTAAATTTATGTGCTGGACAGCTCCAATTGAGCTCACTTCAGCTCTGAATTGCTTCTCTCCTTGATAAGCACCATCAAGCCTCTTCACTGCTATGGCATTGGAGCTCTTTATAAGCCCCTTGAATACAGAACCAAAACTGCCTCCCCCCAACTTATCTGTGAAATTTTTTGTTGCCCGTTGTAAATCATTGTATCTAAATGCCATGATTCCAGTACAAACTTGAGATTCATTGATTATTTGACCAGAGCTCAACACTTTGTTTGTCCAAATCAACAGTAAGAGGATAAGTGCAAATAAGCCTAGAGCAGAAATACCCATACCAGTTGCAACTGCAATAGCAATCCCTCTTCTGTTGTTTCTCAAACTTTGTAGTACATCTTTAGCAGAAAGACGAAGGTGAAGAGTTTCTCCATTTGAAGTAGTAGTGCCACTGCATTTTAGTGCTTTTATGTTGAGCAATTCACTATGCCACATGAAACATCCATTGTTGCCAAAGGAGTATGCTGTGCAAGAGCAATCACTGAGGCAAACTTGTGCACACTGATTCGCGCTTGCAGCAGCTTCTACTTTTGGGACATCCTGGGGCAGTTTAACACATGGCACAGAATAGAACTTGTCTGTGGTGTGTGTTGTGCTTTTGTTGCTTATGCAGTCTAACTGAGTATTTCTCGAGCACCCACCCGACCGATCTTCTAGCTCCCAATCCTTAGGGGATGTTATCTTGAAGCCCACCATACAATTGCAGTGTGGCACTTCATTATCAGTGCAAATTGTGTAAGGACCACAAATTGCATGGACATCACACTGAGCTCTTGGTTGGGTATTGATCATTAGCCAATCCTCTAAGCCCTTCATCCAAATGAATGCCTTTATTTGACCTGAGACGTCAACTACATGACGAGTAACCATATTTGGATCCATGTATTCATCTACTAAATCATATGTCACGTACTTCTCACGGTCATTGTCGACAAATTTTGGACTAATATAGTGGGCGGCTGACATCTCTGGAATTGCAGCGAAATATTGGCCGTTCCACACACCGGTGGACCAGTAGTGTATGGATGAGTTCAATGCTACAAGAAATACCTGGTTAATTCCACTGGGGTCTAACTGCTCACAGTACACACCGGTAGCTGGGTCGATTATGTTTTTCCAAGAAACCAAACGGCGATTCAGGCCGGTGACCTTGTCCCATCCAAGTTTCGCCCCAGGAAAAAATGTATCTGTGGGGTGATCAAAGCTCTGCCACAGAACCTCTGATGGGTTTGAAGAGTCTGTCAGGATGAGATTTCCACTGCTCAACAGCCTAGCAGCAGAGCTATTTCTTGTGATGTTTGCTTGTGTAGACCAGATTACGGATTTGGCAGACCGGTTGAAGATGACAAGGTTGCCGTGGTGGGAGATTGTGAGCTCTAGTGAGGTGGTGTTCTGTATGGGTCTATCCCTATTTGCAACCCATGCTGAAGTGAATTTGGGGACTGTGTTGAACCATATGCCGAGGTACCAGTTGGCAGTGTGTCTGGTCTGGAAGAAGCTGAGCGCGTACCTGCCATTGCTGGAGACGAGCTTGTCGTCGACGGCGAGCGCTTGGCCGGCCAAGATGGTGTCCGTCACGGCAGAACTGGTCGGGGTGCGTAGGCACAAGAGGACGGTGAAGGCAACTAGGAAGGGGGGCATGGTGAACTGAAGGTGGCGAGAGCGTACGTGCAAAGGCTTGCTGTTGCGGTTGTTGTTGTGCAGAGGCTGGAAATGTATAGACTGGGTGCTGAGCGGCCATGGCACTGTGGAGTCAAGCACAACATCCAAACTAGTAAAAGTTTTTTCAGTGGTGATGATGAAACGCTTCTTGCATGGCGTGCACGGCAGGATTTGCGTGGTGGAAATGAAAAGGGTGGGGGAAGAAGAGCGCTGGGGATGTGAGCGCCAGGCAGTTGGCTTACCGGTCGAACTCGAAATCTGGCCGTCGCTCTCCTCCGGTTACCTGGCGCGCAGGCCAGAAGAGGTCTTTGCACCTGTGAATAGCGATTCGTTGGGTACTAATGTGTATGTGTGGCTTAATGATAAGAGTGACGTCGTTCCTTTTGTTTGGTGTACATGTATCTTTATTTATTAATAGTTTGGGTTTATGGGATACAGTAGGCGAAGATGAGCGCTGTCTTGGCAGTAGCGTTGCCGGCACGGCTTAACTTTTGTGACCGTGCCATCCGCCACGGCTACCATTATGTCGGGCATTTCCAGTATCCTATAAGGATGTTGATTGTGCAGCACACCCTGCTAGCTGTTGTAACAAGGCTAATCTCTTTCAAAAAGGCAAAACAATAAACAAGGCTAAGATAAGCTTCCAAGTTGGATCTTAGAAGCTAGAAATTTCATGTTAAGTAGAGCTAAACTGAAATAACCGCTATGCAACTCGTTTTCCTGAAACAAAAAAGGAACATGTTGAATGCGCGCTTCCAGCCATAGCTTGGAGCAGTCTTGGCGTTGGGGGAAATTGTGATCTCAACTAGCCCTTCAAGAATCCGAATTAGCTGCTCGATTGTTGGCCGATCAACCTTTGATGCACCAACGTGCAACCTTGTAACCATGGACAGATGAATACATGATATCAAAAAGACCCAGCAAAATTTGAAACCTAGCTTCAACAACAAAATTATGAATTAGTGTTAGGAAAAAAATTAAAGCCCAACATACATTAGGCACTATTTAGTGCCAAATTTGCCCCCTTTCCCGAGTTGTGTTACGAATTTTAACTTAAATTTTTGTGACATTGTTAGACATCAGTGTTATCTGGGATATCCTTCAGGCGTTCTCCATTTTCTTCTCTGAGGTGGCTACAAGCTTGCTCCTTGAGCTGTTTCTCTAGAGGGGGAGGAGAGCAAGTCTAGCCCTAGCTCCTTCTCTCTATATGGGCGTGTGGGTGAACAAGAGGTTGAACCCTTTGCATGGGTGTCCTGGGGGGTTTATATAGGCCTACCCCAGGGGTACAATGGCAATCCGGCCGGGTGTAGGCCTGAGCCGTCAATGTCTCTGGTCATCGGCTTCTCCGCTGGCCGATGGGGCCTGGCGCTTGGTGGGTCCCGCCTTCCGTCCGGTACCTGGCCGACAGGCCGTACCCGCCGCTTGCGGGTTCTGCCTGCTGCCCGATACTGTAGCGATGCGGCTAATGATGCGTGCTTTGTCGGTGGAGGCGTGGCTACAATGCCGCCGCCTGGCGGGCGTTCACTGTAGCCATTCCTCGTCTCATCTGGTTAATGGCGCACCGGTCCACAAGAGGGAGGACCGCCTGGTCATTTGCCGGCTTCTACTGAGCCGACTGGCCAGGGACTGCCGCTTGCCGCGCCGAACGGAGGAGTCCCGCTTGGTACGGCGCACTGTGGCCTTGCTATGCCCTAGAGTAGGGGCGGCGAGGCGTGCGGTAGCCACGCCCCATCTCGTCACATTTATGAGGGTGCAAACTCTGAGAGCGCTTGGGGCCGCCTGCTGGGAGCCGACCTCTCTAGAGGCCGCCTCCCAGGAGTCGGCCCAATCTTGAGGCCGCCTTCTAGCAGCCGGCCGCCTGGACCAGCTTTGGTCTTGGATTCTTGAGGGGCGTAGTCAATCCCGATGTCTTGAAACGCCATGGGGAGCCGATGAGGCTACCCGTGGCTAATTACTCTGACGGGGGAGTTGCTTAGGATTGCGTGGCACTAATGTATCTTCGGAGCATCGCTGGGTTGCGTCCTGCTAGTTTGCACATCTTTGCTTTGATCTATTTGTGAGCTGGCATGTTTGCCTACCTGGCTATGCATCCTGTCTAGATCTATCTAAAAACTGTGTAAAAGGGAAGCTTAAAACCTGGCTTTCTTCTGTCGCAGCTACTCTCCGGTTGCCGCCGAGCGCTATTAACAGTTTATGTTGGTGATTTTTCTTTGGCTTTATAAACAATTGGGGCGGGGAAACCACTTTTGGTTCAAAAAAAGAGAAAAAAGTTGTTTGAAAAAGGAATAAAAATAAAGTAAATTCAAGGAAGAGCTTTCTTTCTTTTTTAACAGCCCCTTGGCAGGCCGTGGAATGCTTTTGTTCTTCTCTTATTCCATATGGAATACAATCGGTTAAAATAAGAAGGAATAGGGGAATATTCGATCGTTCACTTCAAAAAGAGGGTCCTATTGAAAAAGAAATTATCCAAAATAAAAAGAAGTTTGTTTTTCAAATTCAATTGTTTATTTATCTCTTATTTAAAAATTTCCCTGAAAGTCGAATTTCATTTTCTCATTCAATGGGGTTAGATGATTTAATTCTTAATATTATTACTTTACTCAATTGACAGATTCCACAACAGATCTCTTGATTCGGAATTAGGGACTCATGTATCATCTGATGAATCCATTTTCTTTTACACTTATGTATCTTACTCTATCTTGTTTTTAGTATTATCTAAAATAACTGATGAATTATAAATTTTTCATAACTTAGGTAAATGCTTTACCAACATATGTAGTGTAGTAAAAAAAATGGAATTTAACTCTTTCATGCTTATTTTAACTAGTTATTTTGGTTTTCTACTGGCTGCTTTAACTATAACCCCAGCTCTATTTATTGGTTTGAACAAGATACGGCTTTGGTAGAGTCCGAGTCTGTCTCCGTGTTTATTTTGCAGCCACGCCGTGTTAGTTCTGGATTGGTATCTACGGTCGGAGTCCTATAAGCAAAGCAAAACTACAAACCCTCAATGTAAAGACGGACGAGAATCTCTGGGTACGGTAGGGCACGGAGGAGTACTTTGCGGCGAAAGGATCAGCCAACCGTAACCGAGTGATCAAGATACCGATCGATGGAGCCGGCGAGCAAGCGATCAATGGTCTCCGCCGCCCAAACCGGCGGCGTGCTGTCACCGGACCTGGCGTGGGAGATCCTGCTGCGCGTCCCGGCCTCGTCGCTGTGCAGCTTCCGCGCCGTCTGCCGGTCGTGGCGTTCCCTCCTCTCCGACCCGTCCTTCGCCAAGGCACACGCCGGCTTGCGTCCAGGCGTCATCCTCTCCCTGGCCGGGGCCGAGGACCGCATCGACGTGGTGGACTATTCCGGGCACATCATCAGGCAGATAAACATCCCGGCGGCCGAGGAGGAAGGGGTGCCGCCACCGCCACTGCCAGTGCACCCCGGCCCCTTCTATCTTTTCCGAGCCCGCAAGCGCACCCGCGTGCTCGACCTGGACACCGGTGCCGTCGCGGCCTTGC